GGCAGACGCTGTGGGCCGATCGTGCTTGGAGGAGACTGGAACTGCATCGCCAGGCCGCAGGACACCACCGGCGCCGCGGACCCTGCCGCATCCTCGCCAACGTCATCCAGGACTGCAGCTCGACGACGCATGGACGAGGCTGCATCCTAGCGAGGTAGGCTACACGTACCGAGGGCCTAGCTGTTCGTCGCGCCTCGACAGAGTCTACGTCACCAAGGACCTGACGCCGCTGCTACGAGGGGCCCAACTGCACGCCGCGGCCTTCGGCGACCACCGCGCCATCAGCGTGGACATCGCCCTGGACACCGAGGCGCGCCAGCGGCCGAACCGCGGCCAGCGACTCTGGAAGTTCGACCCCGCCACGCTCAGCGACGAGGCCTTCCTTCCCGCACTGCGCGAGCGGTGGCTGCAGTGGCGGCGCCAGCGAGGGGACGCCGACGTCGTGGACTGGTGGGAGGCCACCAAGAAGAAGCTGCAGGCCTTCTGCAAGGACTTCTCCAGGCGCTCCAGGCGCGACGACAACGTCATGTGCCAGTTCCTCTCCAGCTGCGTCAACGAGATCGCCGCCCGACTCTACGACCAGCCTGGGGCCCACGACGAGCTGCGCCAGGAGCTGGACGCCCGCGGAGGCTGCTGCAGCTGCTGTCCAGGAGGCTGGCCTGCACCCGGGCGCGCGCCAAGTGCCCCGACGAGGTGGACGGCGAGACTGTCGGACTGCACCACGTCGCCGCCAGCCTGCGCCGCCGGAGGGAGGGAGTCATCGAGCAGCTCGAGGACGCCGACGGCAACGTGTTCCGGGACCCCGCCGCCATCGCCGAGCACGTCCGCCAGCACTACGCCGCCGTGTTTGCCGCCCAGGGCCCCGGGGAGCAAGATGCAACCCAACGCGCGCGCGAAGGGATGCCTACCTCCACGGCGGCCGCCGCTCCGCTCGCCCCGCCAGCCCCGCGAGACGCTCCAAGGACGCCGCTGCTGGACGCCGTTGTGCCCGGCGCCGTGCTCACCCCCGAGGACAACGAGGCCGTGCTGCGGCCGTTCACGATGGAGGAGATGGAGGCCGCGCTCAAGGCCAGTCCGCGCGGCAAGTCCCCTGGAGAGGACGGCCTCACGGCGGAGCTGTACCTGGCGGCGTGGGACATCCTCGGCGAGGACTTCCTGGCCGTCTCCAACGCCATGCTGCGCCGCCGGGCCGTCGCCCCCTCCCACAAGAAGGGCCTCATGGTCCTCATCCCGAAGGCTGCGCGCCGCCCGCGGACCGTCAAGGACCTCAGGCCGGTGACTCTGCTCAACGTCGACGGGAAGGTGTTTTCCAGGGCGCTGACGCGCCGCCTCGAGGCCATGCAGAGGCGCATACTGCACCCGATGCAAGTCCAGCCGGGATGCAGCAGGACAATGCAGGCCGCGCTGGGGGACGTCCGGGACGCCATCAGCCTCACGGAGCACACCAAGAAGGGCGTGTGCGTCGTCGCGCTCGACATCGCCGGGGCCTTCAACAACCTGCGGCACTCCTTCTTGTGGGCTGTCCTCCGCAGGCACGGCGTGGGCGATGACGTCGTCGCGCTGCTCCGCAGCATGTGGGTAAAATTCAAGGGGATTGACACGACCGGAACCTCATGTCGTCAGAACTTGATCAAAGTTGGCTCAAATGTTACCCCCATAGGGGTAAGTAAGCCCACAAAATTTGAACCCTCTAGCTCAACTAACATGGGCGCAGTGAGCAATCTAATTTTCGCCTGAAATTCATTTTCACCTTTTTCAGCAAAATGCACATTTTTGGAAAAGTCGTCGCGCTGGCCGCCCCGACGGCCTTTCCTCCGCCTGATCGACGTTCCTAGACTCAAAATTGTCTGGGGAATCCGAATCTGGCGTCGGTTTTCCGATAGCGTTCCGATAAAAATCCAAAAATGGCACTTTTTTTACGGAAATTTAGTTATTTTAGGGGTTTACGCGACAGGCCGTATCCACTAGCCCCCAATCCAAACATGCCCGTTTCAACTTTTTTTCAGTTAAGGGACACCATAAGCTTAATTTTAAGATGGGCCCCGATATTATGTATGGGTCTCGTTTAGGAGCTAGCACCATGCCCAACTTTTGACTTTTTCCCTAAAACTTGTTTTTCTATGAAACCTTTAAAAAGGCATGGCCTCCTCAAAAAATGTCCTAGGCGGCAAATAAAGTAGTCTAACGGACGCAGAATTTCCGAGGATCACGATGCTGCACGTGCATTTGAGTTTTGGAGCCTCAAACGCAGTCAAAACTCCAATAAACAACAAATTTATGTTAAATGCCACAAAATGTTGAACGGCAATTACGACCTTTTCCCCGTCGCAAGGCCGCTTTGCCGTTGCCTACTCGGACTCCTTGGAGTTTCCACTTTGAGAATAAGCAGGAAAGGGTCAGCAGCCCACACTGGAAACTGCGGATTTCCCCATAAGGGCGAGGCACCGCGCCGCCGGGGGCAACCAGTTTGACGCACCCCTCTGCCACAGGCGGTGGAGGTCGCGCGCGCCGCCCCCGGGTAGGCAACCAGGCATTTGGTCCATGGACCTTCCTTTACGATGCCATTGTTTACGGAGTGCGATTATTCGCCTTAGTTTGGGTGCAGTATTGTCTCAAAGTTGATCAAAACCGACTTTAATGGCATTGACCGTTTTGTTCAACTTTGAGACAAGATGCTCCCAACTGAGGCGCATAATCGCACTACGTACAAAGGCATGCTTAAGGAAGGTCCAAGACCAAATGCCTGTTGAGAAAGTACGAAGGCGCGCCTCGAATCAGACGCAGAGGCTGCTTATAGTCGGCCCAAAACATGATTTTTCTAAGGCTTTTTTGAACCGTTTTGATCAACTTCGAGACAACACTGCTCCCAAACTAAGGCAATAATCGCACTCCGTAATAAAGGCATGCTAAAGGAGGGGTCCCGTGGGGTTGCGAAATCTTCCTGCTCTTCAAACCGAAAAGCGTACATTGTATGCTCTAACTTCAGCATGCCTGCAAACACGCTCTAGCTAGCTAGCTTCATGCAGTTCATGTAGTTTAAAAAAAATGTTCAATTTGAACACATTGAACGTTTCTGGCCAAACGGTCCGAAAAAATCCAAAAGACTTCGAAGAGAATCGTTTCTTATACCTTTGAGAACGTCTTTGTCAAGTTTCATGCTTCTATCACTGAATGTGCGACTTTTTTGGCTAGCGCGGCACAGGGCCGGGCTGGGCGGGCCCGCGCTGCCCCTACAGCCGCCGCGCGCGCATCGCACCCACTATCTCAGGCACCGTTCAAGGTACCAAGTTGGTTTTGTGCTCCTTTCTTTACGAGAAGAGGCAGGCTACAGCCGTTAGAAAAGGCCATTTCCCAAAATCCAGCGAGGAAAAAAGTTATGGGCCAATGAACAAAACTTCGAGCTTTTGTGAAAATAAAATTCTAACTTTGTCGGCCTTAAGTCAAAGTATTTCACCTACGCTAAATCTGAATGCAGTTTTAGATTCCTTGTTAAAATTTACGTCGGATAGCATTCTCGCGTGTTGAAATCGGTCCACTGGAAACGTAGCTACGTCAAAAACGGACTAACGGCAACTTCCCGAAATTTCCTTGAAAAATAGACGATTACTGGAATCCTAGGGGACGAATCAATTGCCTCTCCAGCCAAAATTGTCACTGTCCATACTACAACTGTGCAAAAGCTCAATATCTGGTCATGACGTACAGCTTTTTTCCGTCAGGCCCCCGCCCATGCCTACCCGGGGGCGCGCGCGCGACCTCCACCGCCTGTGGCCGAGGGTGCGTCAAACTGGTTGCCCACCTGGGCGGCGCGGTGCCTCGCCCTTATGGGGAAATCCGCAGTTTCCAGTGTGGGCTGCTGACCCTTTCCTGCTTATTCTCAAAGTGGAAACTCCAAGGAGTCCGAGTACACTCTAAATGTCTTACGAAGGAATTTCCCATAATACGAAGGAAATGGCGCAAGCATAATACGAAGGCGGTTTTTCTTCGTATTACGAAGGTTTTTCTTTGTATCCTACAATGAAAAAGCTAAAAAGATTCGTATTACGAAGGAATATTGCTTCGTATTATGCTTGCGCCGAATTTACTGTAACATACGAATAACATAGGTGAAATTTCATTGTAAGACATTTAGAGTGTAGGCAACGGCCAAGCGGCCTTGCGACGGGGAATAAGGTCGTAATTGCCGTTCAACATTTTGTGGCATTAAATATAAATTTGTTGTTTATTGGAGTTTTGACTGTGTTTGAGGCTCCAAAACTCAAATGCACGTGCAGCATCGTGATCCTCGGGAAATTCTGCGTCCGTTAGACTACTTTATTTGCCGCCGAGGACGTTTTTGAGGAGGCCATGCCTTTTTAAAGGTTTCATAGAAAAACAAGTTTTAGGGAAAAAGTCAAAAGTTGGGCATGGGGCTAGCTCCTAAACGAGACCCATACACAATATCAGGGCCCATCTTAAAATAAGCTATGGTGTCCCTTAACTGAAAAAAAGTTGAAACGGGCATGTTTGGATGGGGGCTAGTGGATACGGCCTGTCGCGTAAACCCCAAATAACTAAATTTCCGTAAAAAAGTGCCATTTTTGGATTTTTATCGGACCGCTATCGGAAAACCGACGCAGATTCGGATTCCCCAGACAATTTTGAGTCTAGGAACGTCGATCAGGCGGAGGGAGGAAAGGCCGTCGGGCGGCCAGCGCGACGACGTTTCCAAAAATGTGCATTTTGCTGAAAAAGGTAAAAATGAATTCAGGCGAAAATTAGATTGCTCACTGCGACCATGTTAGTTGAGCTAGAGGTTCAAATTTTATGGGCTTACTTACCCCTATGGGGGTAACATTTGAGCAAACTTTGATCAAGTTCTGACGACATGAGGTTCAGGTCGTGTCAATCCCCTTGAATTTTACCCATGTACGAGGGCGCCACCACCAAGATCTCCGTCAACGGCGTGATCACCGAGGCCGTGGACCTGCTCCAGGGCATCAAGCAGGGCTGTCCGGTGTCCATGCTGCTGTACTGCATCGCCAGCTCGCCGCTGCTCAAGGCCTTGGACACCAGGCTCGTCGGGGTCCCACAGTGGTACGAAACGGCTAAAAATGCGACAAAAATATTTGAGCCTTCCAAAGGACTTCTTGGGCCATAAAAAAGTTGAAAAAGTGTCACAAAGGTGCACCGGAGCTTTATTGCCAGTGTAAAGTCGCAAAAACCTCAAAAAACGCCGAAAAATGCCGTTTTTGGGGTCTTTCCCTGTGATTAAAATGACTTCTAATTCGAATCCGCACTATCTCTAAGCGCCAAAAGATAGCCTAATATATGTACTTTGAAACCCTGACAGCCCCTAGGCGACCAGACACCCGGGATTTTTAATACACGCAACTTAAGGTAAAATAAATTGTCTGAAAACCCGAAAAAAAGCCTTTTTCAGGGCCAAACCAGAGCAGATTAATATCAGTTGCTGTCAAATGGCAATAATGGCTGACAAATAGACTCTTTCACTCATCGCGAAGTAAAGAAATATAGTTCTCAAAATGTCGGGAACCAGTAGCGCACCAGCGGCTATCATTGTAAACAGTCAAAAGCTGAATCCTGATTGGTTACAAGCGTAGCTCTGGACGAAGCTCACTGAAGTGGCCGCTAGGTGCCGCGCAGCTTCACTGAGATTCCGAACGCTTTGAGTATAGCACGTATGGTGCAATGCAGCTGAGATATCGCACCATACGTGCAATGCCATTAAACGTTAATTTAACGGAAACGGACACTGAAAATCCAAACGCTATGAGTATAGCTGTTGCAATGCAAAAGCATTGCACATTGAGGGCAATGCCCCCCCCCCCATCCTCACGCATTAGCAAACGGCATTTTCGGGACGCATTACACGTAAGATGCAATATGACTATGGAATTGTACGTATGGTGCGATATCTCAGCTGCATTGCGCCATACGTGCTATACCCAAAGCGTTCGGAATCTCAGTGAAGCTGCGCGGCACCTAGCGGCCACTGCAGTGAGCTTCGTCCAGAGCTACGCTTGTAACCAATCAGGATTCAGCTTTTGACTGTTTACAATGATAGCCGCTGGTGCGCTACCGGTTCCCGACATTTTGAGGACTATATTTCTTTACTTCGCGATGAGTGAAAGAGTCTATTTGTCAGCCATTATTGCCATTTGACAGCAACTGATATTAATCTGCTCGGGTTTGGCCCTGAAAAAGGGTTTTTTTTCGGGTTTTCAGACAATTTATTTTACCTTAAGTTGCGTGTATTAAAAATCCCGGGTGTCTGGTCGCCTAGGGGCTGTCAGGGTTTCAAAGTACATATATTAGGCTATCTTTTGGCGCTTAGAGATAGTGCGGATTCGAATTAGAAGTCATTTTAATCACAGGGAAAGACCCCAAAAACGGCATTTTTCGGCGTTTTTTGAGGTTTTTGCGACCCTACTCTGGCAATATAGCTCCGGTGCACCTTTGTGACACTTTTTTAACTTTTTTATGGCCCAAGAAGTCCTTTGGAAGGCTCAAATATTTTTGTCGCATTTTTAGCCGTTTCGTACCACTGTGGGTCCGCGTCGAGGGCACGGACGGCAGGCTTGCGGGGTCCGCGTACGTCGACGACACTGTGGTGGTGCTGCAGGACGTCGCGGAGGTGGCCGTGCTCGTGGACACCCTGGAGGAGTTCGGCGCCGAGTCGGGATTACGTGTCAACGATGCCAAGTCCATGGCCCTCCCCGTCGGACGCTGGCCGCGCCGCGCGCCGCTGCCGTACCCCGTCGCCAAGGAGATCAAGCTGCTCGGAGTCCACTTCACTGCGAAGACGAGCGGACTCGCCACTGCCAACTGGCCGGGCCGCGTCGGGGTGCTCCGCGCCCTGCTCGTGGACGCCAGGCTGCGCGCCTTCAACCTGGTGCAGCGGGTGCAGTACTGAAACACCTACGTACTGCCCCTGCTCTGGCACCTCGCCGCCGTCGCGCCGCTCCCCCCCAAAGTATTGCGGCATGGTCCGGAAAGCTCGGGGGAAGTTTCTCTGGGCCACCAAGCCCGTCCGCGTCCCTTCGACGTGATGGTGCAGCCCGGGGAGCGCGGCGGCCTCGGACTGCAGGACCCTGCGCGCAAGGCCCGCGCCATGCTGGCGGCACGCTGGGAGAGCTCGGCGCGCGCGGACTTCAAGACCGTCTCGGGTGCTGGCTGCGCTTCCTGCAGCAGCGCTACGCGGACGCGCCGTCGGTGCCGGCCTGCGTCAAGCACTTCAGCGTGTCCTGCAGGAGCCCCGCTTTCGCCGCCGTCCCGGGCCTGGTCGGCAAGGACCTCACCAAGGCCCTCTACACCGCCCCCCTCGCCGCCGACGTGCCCGTGCCAGGGCCATGCGCGGCGTTCCCGACGACGTGCAGCAGCGAGTTTGGCGGTGCGTCCACCACAAGGGCCTGCCAGTGGACGTCCGGTCGACATGGTTTGAGGCAGTCCAGGACGTGCTGCCCACGGCGCTGCGCCTCAACGTCGCCCCCAAAGCGCCCCCCGGACTCCCCCAAAATGCGCCGAGCCCGAGGCGTGGTGCCCCGGGCTGGCGCGGTGCGGGGCAGAGCGGCGAGCAGCGTGGGCGTGGCGGCGCAGCACATCGCCAGCACCACGGGCCTGGCCGTCGACGAGGGGACCATCATCCGGCCGCAGCTCGAGGGGCCGCGGGGCCGACGCCGTCCTGCTCGGGGCCCGGCCGTGCAATTCCTGGCGACAGGCGCGTCGTCAGCCCCCCAGCCGAGGGGGTATGCGCTCTCTGAACCTGTGTACCGACTATTACCATTACGCTCTATTACGCCACAAATTTAAACGGAAATTTTGCTAAAAACGGCCTAAAAAACACCAAAATGATAAATTTTTACAATTTCGGCTATTACGCGACTATTACGCGATTATTACGCGTGATTACAGATAGAGTGAACCGACTATGCGGTGCATACCCCCTCGCCCCGAGCCCTCCAGGACCACCTGCGACGACGGGCCGCCAACGTGACGTCAGCGGGGTGACGGCTGCCAGCGTGGCTGCGCGGCGAGGCCGTGGTTCCGTGAGTGAGTCCGCTGCGATGAGCCGGGGGCGCAAGCGCCCTTCGTGAGCAGTGCCTGCGATGAGCCGGTGGGGCCCTGGAGCCCATCCGTGAGGGGGGGTGAGGACCGACCGTCCACGGACGGATCGTGACTTGGCGATCTCGCGGTTCCGCGGCCGCCAGTGTGGGGGCGACGGGCTGCGCCGGGCGGCGCGCCGAGGGAGTGACGTCACGCAGCCGACGCAGCGCCGCATCTTCTTCTGCTGCCGGACCGAGCGGCGCGCGGAGTAGCGGCACGTCTTCTGCTGGCGGACCGAGCGGCGCGCGGAGTAGCGCCGCGTCTTCTGCTGCCGGACCGAGCGGCGCGCGGAGTAGCGCCGAGGACGTCAGCGGGCCGGTGGCCAGAGTAGCGACGGGGTAGTGACGCGCCGCCAGACACCAGCCGTGGGCGGCGCGAGGAGGAGAGACGCAGAAGTTGCGTAAATGTTTTACTTTTCTTTTGTCTGTTTTACCCTGTTTTTTATTTCTGGCTCTTAAAACTGATTATTTCTATGAATTTTTTTTGGCTTTTAATTTTTACTGGTGTTTTAATGTTTACTGTCGGTACTCACATGATGTCTCTCTGTTTCAGGTCGGCGCAGGGCACGAGGGGCCGAACCCACTTCGGTGGTAATAAGCCCCTCGCCGCCGCCGCAGTCCTGGAACGGAGAGGCATCATGTGACGTCCAGCTGCAACAAGATTTATGATTTTAAATAAAGTAACCGTTTGAGTCCTGTTAGAATACCGAAAGAGAAGAGCAAGAGGAAGCAGTCTTTTAAATTTGTTATCTTTTATCACTGTTGATTTTATTTTATTGTTGATAATTGTTATGCTATTAACTGAGCCGAATAAAAAAAAAAAAGTTGGTTCCGTGCCTGGAGGCTGGATAGTAAGACGGGTTCGGCGGGGGTTCGATTCCCGGCGATGCGTAACCAGTTTTCCCTCGCACAATTCGTTTGAATGGCAAGGGAATGTACTGCGGGTATCAAATACCGGCGGGAAAGACGGATCCTCTGGATGTGACAGTTTTGCCCGTCGCTGTAAAAATGATTAATGGGGGCGATCAGACATCTCGCAGATACGTCTCGATGATGGCTGACTTCGACTAGAAAGAACTCGCTCCAAAGGGGGATAACGCCATGCTAGGAAACACGGCCTCTTAACTGTGGCGTCAGTGCCCCAAAGTCAGTGATACCAACTTAGAAAACCGAAACGGTTGTAAAATTAGGATACCCCGACGGGTCTTGAACACGCACACATCGGGGCCAGAAGCGGCAACGCTAACCCCTGCGCTACCGACCACATGGGAGAACTGCGGTCCGGCGCAGCATCTTGGCGGACCACTCAGGGTGAGCTTCCGTTTTTCGGTTCAGATGTTGGCGCCTCTGCTGTCGATGCAAGCCGACTATCCCCTGACCCTGAGTGGTCCGCCAAGAGGCTGCGCCGGACCGCACTCTTCTCATCTCATCGATAGCGCAGTGGATAGCGTTGCCGCATCTAACATCAACGGGTGCGTGTTCAAGACCCGTCGGGGTAACCTAATTTTACATCAGTTTCGGTTCCCTAAGTTGGTATCACTGACCTTGGGGCTGCAGTTGAGACTTTAGTATCGTTGAGTGGAGACGATAATGCTCTTGAAACGGAGAAGTGTGTTGTTCACTTGATTCAAGAATCGGCGTACTTGATTCAAGACTAATAATCAAGTATTTTTAATCAAGAAATATATTTTACTTGATTCAAGAAATCTTTTTTCTGGGTGCATAAGCAAACTGAAACTGGACTTATTCTGCACTTTGTTCTTACCAAAAACTGCAGTTCAGGAACTGTAGTTTTGGCACTATAGTTTAAACTGCAGTTTCACTACAGATCCTTCCACCCGGGCTCACGCCCCCGGCATGCCCCCTTTGAGGGCTGCCACGAGGGATGTAGCGACCAGCCCCCTGGTCACGTGGAAGGCGCGCGGCGGGCGACAACCAGTCATTGCCCTTGCGCCCGCCGATGCCCTCGGTACAAACGAGTGCGCAGCCGGCCCCGCTGGACATGACGACCCCACGCTGTGCCCGTCGGGGACGGTCACACAGCCCAGGCCGCGGCGGTCAAGATGGGAGCCTACATACTCCTTCCAATTCGATCCACGAGTCACGGGGCCGCGCCAACAGCGCCCCTCTGGCGGAAGAAAGCCCGTTCTTCCCCCGTCACCGCGACCTATCGGAGAGCGCTCGCAAGAGGATGAACTCGAGGGGGTAGCAACTCCCAAAAATCGCGGCCCGACTATTACGTTTTGAGACTATTACGCGTAATAGATGGGATATTACGTATATTACGGCTATTACGTTCTATTACAGACTATTACGCTCTATTTCGCAATTATTACGCAGCTATTACATGTATTACGCTATTATTACAGCTATTACGCGGTTATTACGCTTTGAAAAACAGCGCCAAATCTTTCACAAGCTGCTTCCGCTTCCTGCGACATACTCGTTTTATGAGAAATTCCTCTGCACATTTGCAGTGCACAGTTTTTCTTTTCTTTTTTGGTTATTTTTGAAGGTTTTTTTGAAGTTATTTACTAGAACTTTTGAGACTGTCAGGTTATTCTGTTGTCATTGAGTTGATTAGCAATAATTGCAAGAAATTGATAATTCTTGGCGGTAGTTGATGAAGTAAAAGACTTTTTCACTTTGGAGAACTATTATTTGAAGAGAAAAGGAGATCAATCGCCAGACTTGAGTTTTAACCCTAGGAACCAGAGGATTTTTCGGTTTAGCTACATTAAAAAAGATTAAAATAAACACAGATTTATATTTTTTTTAAATTGTTTAATGCTTTTACTCTCTAGTATGAATTCAAACATAATATCTTAGTAAGACTAAGTATCAAAAAGAGAATTATTAACAAACAATTAGTCATTGTTAAAGTTTTTTTTACTTTAATCTTATTCTATATTCTTATTTTCTAAGACAATACCTTGGTAAGACTAGGAGTCATATAAAAAAATCTCAGGCAATCAGTCACTGTTACAGTTTTTGTACTTCACTCTTATTATATATTCTTATTTTCTAAGACAATACCTTGGTAAGACTAGGAGTCTTATAAAAAAAATCTCAGACAAGCAGTCACTGTTACAAATTTTGTACTTCACTCTTATTCTATATTCTTAATTTCTAAGATAATAACTTGGTAAGACTAGAAGTCATTAAAAAAAAATCAGACAGTCAGTCACTGTTACAGTTTTTGTACTTCACTCTTACTCTTTATTCTAACATAACACCTTGGACAGACTAGCTCTTACAATGCAATCACAATAAACAATAATACTAGGCTTTCTTTCCCTTTAGTGACATTATTTCCTTAGGTGTACAGCTGAGGAACAGTTGACCGTTCTGGAAGGTAGGGCGGGGAAGAGTACAGATGTATGTTTCAATGTTGTAATATCCGTGAACTTCCATTGGCGATTCATGGAGAGTCCGACTGTTGCCTTTGGTGAAAAACCCACGAGCACAGGCAACCAGTCCTCGTGCATTGGAGTCTGGCGCTTTCACAGGGGCTGATAATCTGGAGTACTGTTGGTTTTTGCTGCTACTGCCTGTCATGTAATGAAGGCCAGCACTCGGCCTATAGCAATAGAATTCTTCTCCACAAAGCCACACCAATCCCCAACGTGGACCACCTCTTCTACTGTGGGAGGATGTGGTTTGTTGGTGATCGTGCGCAATAAGGGTGTGTGGGTGACTGGTGCCGCTTGCACCCTGGCCAGTCGGTCGGAGCTCATCCTTGTGTCTCCAGTACTCAGCAACCAGCACAGTGTGGATTTACGAATAATTGCTGGATTTTTGAAACCATCGGAAACCAGAACAAATGGACTGCTGTTGCTTACAGGAACATCAAATGTTTTCACAGTTAAAGCCCCAGAGGACACCCTGAACAAATCTTTTTCTATGTCAAATTGAATGTCCACTTGTTCCACTTCGGCCTCACTCGATAGAGGCTGCTCCACATCTTCATCATCAATGTCGATGATGTCAGAGTCAATTTCAACATCTTCACTGTCGCTTGTTTCTTGATCATTCTGCACTCTAAAAAATAATATAGGATTTTGTAACGATCTTGATACAAAATTCTGTAACACGTCAGTCGGATACAAAAATTTTTATCCTTGATCCTAAATTCTGTATCACGTCAAGAATGTTACGAATTTACGAATCGTGCTTCAAAATTCAAAACTGATACAAAAATTTTGTACTTTTCGTTTCAATATTCACAATCAGTGATATAGTTCCATGTAAAAATGCGATCTTTATGCAAATAACTGTAACTGATACAGAAAAACCCTAACATATCGTTACAAGTTTACATAACGTCTGATGCAAAAAATTTAAAAACGCAAATTTAAAGTCAAATTACGAG